ATGGGAGAAAGGTGAAGAGCACACGTTCTGAAAATAAACACTTGAGCCTTTACAAGGGCGCTTTGTGGTGCAGCAGCGACTTGTAGATTCTCCAGTATTTCTGTGCAAACCAAGTGGAGCTATTTAAGAACAGAACTGTTTGTGCAGCTGAGCGGGGCTGGGCACCAATTCACCCAGATATCCTGAGTTTCCCCTTGAAAAATCCACTTGAAATATTGTTGTGAAGAGGCCCATCCCGTATTTGAGGGCAGATTGCTCCAGCTGTGTTTGGATGGAGGGCAGTGGTTGGGCTTGGCTGTCAGAGGGGCTGCTAGCAGAATTTTTGCAGCTGTTGGCTTCGCTTGGCATAAGTAGGCTGAAATGCTGCCTTGTGCCAACTCAGATGGGGACGAGTGCCACCAAAGCCAAGCAGAAGTGACATTCCTGGAATAAATTATTCAGTGAAGCGCAAGGAGTGACTCCTACTGCCCCAAATGGGGGCTGCTGAGCTCTCATCCAACTGGGCAGTGATGCTCATCCCACAACCCTCCAGCACCCACCCCGCATCCCATGGACATCTGCCCATCCGTAATGAAAAGGCAGCGCCGCTGCCACGCCGTCTCCATGGATTTGTGGTTAAGTTGCTTTGTGGATGTAATCTTATCGCCTAATGACCAAATAATGGCGTGCAACAGGAGCTGCGTAAGAAGCCTCTGGATATCATTTTGCTGTCATTGTGAAGGCCTTGGAATGTGATCCCCATTAAAGGGGGAATTTGCATTAACATTGTTTGGCCAACATAATCCCGCCCTGTAATCACATTTTTAGGATATTAAAATAGGCCTGACTCTAGCCTGAGTTGTAACCCCTTGGTCCCCAGAGGCTTGGATGGGATTGAGCTCCAGCAGATCCATCACAGCCAATGGAGCCCCTGTGTGAAGTCAGCAAGCAACAAAGAGGAATTTGGGGGATCTTTTACCCCTCCAGATCTTCCCCACTGATGGCAGAGTTGCCTACTTCTCTTGCTACATCCATAGCTCCTATCCATGCACGGCTACGTGGGGTCAGCGATTCGATTTTCACTTCCCCCACCTATTGAGAGCAATGACCTCTCTATGGAGACTACCTCCACTCACTCTACTGCAACAGAGTCGTCCCCATGTGCCTGCTGCCTGTTGTGCTTGTGCTCAGTGCCCTGTTAAAGGTTTGCCATCCACACGGAGCTTGCAGCAGTGAGCTTTGCCCGTGTGCTGACTGCGAAGCAAAACCTCAGCAGTCAGAAAGCGCTGAATTTTATTTCCTATCTCGAGTTTCTGTTTCTCATTTTTTGCAACCACGAGCTGGGCGAAAGGCTGGCGAGGGATTTAAATAGACTGCAGGTGGGAGGCGAGAAGCGTCCTCCTAATGTACAGAGGAGAAACTGAGGCACGGAGAGACTCGAGGCTCTGCTCCTACGCAGCCAGACGGCTGTGGGCGCATCTCAGGGCTGCGGTGCTTCTCTGTGGAGTGGCTGTGAGCCCGAAGGCTGCAAGGTGGTCACTCCTGCACCAAAGGCAGCTTTGTGCTGCTTCATCCCTAATTGCAGAGCCAATAATCGTAATTAAATCGGAGCTGAGTTTGCAGGGAAGAACCAGCTGAAGGTTACGGGGAGAGCAAGCGACTAGACGTGGCTGCAGAGAGAGGAGCAGAGTGCCAGCTGCCCATTTGTTTGCTGTGGCTTTGTGTTACTGGGACTTAATCACGAGAAGCTGGGTTGATGCTGAAGCCCTATTTACAAGTTTCAGCTCTGCCCCAGCAGTGGGGAGTGACCCGAATGGCACTCTCAGCCTCTAATGTTGGCAGGGAAATAGGGTTCCTATGGATGTGAGAAGCAAAGGTAGGGCAAGGTGAGCTCGTGGTTCTGGAACGACAGGAGGAGCCACACGAGTGAGTTAATCGTGTCCCCATGGAGCAGCTGGAGCTTTGTGTGTTCCCTGCTGTGAGAGGAGAGACAATACATTTATGGTGCATTAAGGTATTATTGTAACAGCGTTAGCGCTGAAAGGTTTCTGATCCTCAGAAATAAAGAGTAGCAGATTTGTCCCAGATTTATCAATGGAGGCAGGGTTCCCATTCAGACATGAGGGAGGGCAGGGCTCCAACACGTGCGGGCAGCGAGGCTGCAGGATGCACAGCTCTGAATGGGGCAGGGCAAGCACAAGAGGATGCTTGAGATGGGCAAGGCTTCGAGGCAGGGAACCAAAGCCTGGGAGCAGCGGGGGGTTGGAATGAAGGTTCCATGTATGGGAGGATTCCCCTATGGCTGTGGGAGAGGTGAAGCTGTGTGCCCCCTCTGCTTGTTAATCTGCCCCAAGAAGGCCACTAAAGGAAGAAAGGAGCAGTGCTGGCTCTGCTGCTTTGTGGAAGCTGCAGTTGATGCTGCAGGTCAGCCTGTAGATCATTGCACAGGGGAGTTTCCTAAATGGCTGTTAGGAATTAAATTGAATTTGTCGAGTCCAGATTCAAGATTAGAATTGGACGGATAAGCAGAGAGGATCTCGCAGGGGGAGGAGGTGGAGAGGTGGACATCCTGCATTAAACAGAAAAGCCACAGCCTGGAGGAGCACATTTGGTGCTGCGCTTTGCAGGAAAATGCTGGGGGCACTGCAGAGGTGTCCCTTCCCATGGGCTCCTATCAGCACTGGTGTCACCGTGCTCAATCTCCCCCTGTGATCGTGTTCATGCCTGCTGATTCGGGGCACAACCCGGCCTGCTTGACCAGCTGGGGCCGGCAGCAATGGCCCCGCAGCCGCTCTGCCTGCAGCGAGCTGCTGGCCTGGCAGAGCTTAATTAGATTTGATGGGATTAGGTGGAAGCAGCGGAGGGGAAAACAGGGCCAGGAGGCCACGCCGTGCCTGGGGCTGCTGGGCTGGAGCTGCAATCCTTCAGGCTGATTTCAAGCAGGCGGCAGCTGAGGGGTTAATTCCAGCTGCTGTGCTGATCTGATGGGGACAGCTCGATCCTGGTTGCAAGGGAAGGGATTTTCCTCAATGCATCCCAAAGGTACGCGGCTCTCTGCAGAGCTGCGCAGATTTGCAGTGGGTTTACCCCCCCCCCCCCCCCCCCCGATTGAGAGCCCGAGTAAACTGTTGCAATTACGGAAGTTCTGCCTTGTTGCCTCGAGCCTTTTGTCATCAATAAATGTTTACGGTATGAAGCAGCCTTGTTTGTTTGCCTTCGACCAGATGACAGTGATTTACTGGCAGAAATCCTAGCAGTGGAAAGAGATGAGCCAGACAAGTCCTTAAGTAAGTGCTACGCACATGTATGGAGGGAGCAGACGATGGCTGTTGCACGATCAGGAAACCTGCAGAGAGCAGAGCTCAGATTTTGGTTGTGAACATTGTTTGCAGGAATGTTTTTGCAGCTTATGAGCAACCCTAGGGTGAAAGATGCTTGGTTTTCACTCTGTCCAGGTTGGGATGGGTGGGAGATGCTGTGTGTTGGGTTCTCCTGCTGTTAGCTGCCATGGGAATGATGAAAGAGTAAGGCTGGATGCCTGTTGCCCCAGTTCCCTCATCCTGCAGCCATGAGCAGGACATGAAGCCAAGGATGGAGGAGACCATAAGAACCCAAACCCACACAGGGCAAGGTGCCGTGGCCTGGACATGAGTGTCCCCTATTGCTGCTGCAGCAATGAGTGCAGCTGGGGCTGAGGCCACAGCCCAGAGCAGTTCCCAGCTGGACGCCTCCTCCTGGGGCACCTCCACCACTTTTTGGAGCAGAAGGTTTGGGGTTATTTTGCCCCCTATCAAATCTATCAGCAAGATGAGGAAGGGAAGCTGGGTTTGCTTGGATCTGTTCGCATTTACGCTTTGGGCTCGGCTCCTACAGCAATATTTATTGCTGTTTTCCCCCATGGGTTTGTATATTTTGTACAGCTTGTTTCTAATTTAAAGTATAAATAAGTTTGATCTTTTCATCTGTGGGTTTTTTTTTTTTTCTCCCTACCTTCTGGAGGCTGTGCTGGTTAAAAATAACAGCAGCAAGGAGCTGCAGCTGGGCTGGTGGTGAGGATTTCACGTTCTCTGCAGTGGGGCTGTTGGGGTGGGATGGGATTGGGATGCCCTTAACACATCCCTGACCCATGTGGTCAGGCCCTTTCCCCAGCCAGGAACCCTCTGAATTCCCAGAGCCTCTCTTGGCACAGGGCTGAGGATAGGAGCGCTCCTGGAGAGCGATCAATGGGGTTTGGGAGCACAGGGACCCGTGGGGGGGTTGGCCTCGAGTTACCCCTCTGTGTAAGCCTTGTGGGGATGGAGCATTTGCCAGCACTGGGATTCTGCAGGAAAGGCTTTCTGCAGGAAAAAAAAAAAATCCCATTTGACCAAAAGTGAACTATTTGTCTGAAAAGATTGATTGAGAAGAGCCTTCCAGCTTCCTTGCAGGAAAGACTGCAACTGCCTTTATGGGAGGGCTGAGCCAGCTTCACTTCTGCATTGAGTTTGCTGTGGGGTTGCACACGCACACTCAGACACACACATGAACATGTGCACGCATGCACACACATGCACATACATGCACACACATGCACTCACACACGCATGGGCATTCATGCACACACCCATGTGAACATGTATGCACGTGCATGCACACAAGCATCCACACATGCACGCCTGCATGCACACATATGCACATACATGTGCACAGACGCGGGCACACACACATACATGCAGACACGCATGTGCACACATGCACGAACATAGGCATGCACACCCACCTACATACGTGCACATACACAGGCACACACACGGATACATGCTCACACACACACACACACACACGCCCTGCCGTTCAGGACTCCCCCCGCTGCTCCCAGCCCCCAAATCCTCCGGCAGTTCCCCGCCGCAGCCCCACCGCACCCCGGGCACGGTGCGAGCCGCTCCGCGGGGCTCCGGGGGTCCCCGAACCGGGCGGTGCCGGGGGGGTTCGGGGAGCGGCGGGGCGAGGCGGTGCCAGCGCTGGGGGCGGACTTTTTGAGCGCAGCCCGGCGCCGCTCAGAGCCGCGGCAGCCGAGAGCGGGGCGGCTGCTTCTCCCTCTCCGCCCCGAGGAGGAGGAAGAAGAGGAAGAAGAGGCTCCGACCGCCGCCTCGCCGTTCCTCTCGCCCTTTCCCCCTTCCTCCCCACACCTTTATGGACGAGCGCCGGAGCTTGCTGCACTCTCCGGCCGCCTCCTCCGCCGGCCGGCCCCCCAACAGCAGCCACCACAACCTGGGCTACACCGAACAGCCTCCCCCCGGCGCCCCGCAGCCGCCCCCCGGCCACGAGGAAGAAGAGGGCGAGGAGGCGGAGGAAGGCAGCATGACGGTGGTGGGGGGCGCCGGGGACCCTTTGCCGGAGGAACCGCAGCATCCGCACCCGTTGCTGGGAGGGGAACGCTACGAACACCCCGCGCCGCCCGCCGCCGGCCCCGCAGGGCATCCCGCGGAGGTCAGCGGAGAGCACGAGTGCTGCGAGCGGGTGGTGATCAACATCTCGGGGCTGCGCTTCGAGACTCAGCTGAAAACGTTGGCGCAGTTCCCCGAGACGCTGCTGGGGGACCCCCGTAAAAGGATGCGTTACTTCGACCCCCTGCGCAACGAGTATTTCTTCGACAGGAACCGGCCCAGCTTCGACGCCATCCTCTATTACTACCAGTCGGGCGGGCGCATCCGACGACCCGTTAACGTCCCCATTGATATCTTCTCCGAGGAGATTCGTTTCTACCAGCTGGGGGAGGAGGCCATGGAGAAGTTCCGGGAGGACGAGGGTTTCATTCGGGAGGAGCAGCGGCCGCTCCCCGAGAAGGAGTTCCAGCGCCAGGTCTGGCTGCTCTTTGAGTACCCTGAGAGCTCCGGGCCGGCCCGAGGCATCGCCATCGTCTCCGTGCTGGTCATCCTCATCTCTATTGTCATCTTCTGCCTGGAGACCCTGCCTGAGTTCAGGGATGACCACGACTACGAGGGAACCGGGGGGACATTTGGGACGGGTGGTGGCCCTCTCCCACCCGATGTCTTCACCAATTCCTCATCCTCGGCCGTTTCCATGGTGTCGTCCTTCACCGACCCTTTCTTTGTGGTGGAGACTTTGTGCATCATCTGGTTCTCCTTTGAGCTGCTGGTGCGCTTCTTTGCCTGCCCCAGCAAGGCCACCTTCTCCAAGAACATCATGAACATCATTGACATTGTGGCCATCATTCCTTACTTCATCACGCTGGGCACCGAGCTGGCAGAGAGGCAAGGCAATGGCCAGCAAGCCATGTCCTTGGCCATCCTCCGAGTCATCCGCTTGGTGCGGGTCTTCCGGATCTTCAAGCTGTCCCGGCACTCCAAGGGGCTGCAGATCCTGGGGCAGACCCTCAAGGCCAGCATGCGGGAGCTGGGCTTGCTCATCTTCTTCCTCTTCATCGGCGTCATCCTCTTCTCCAGCGCCGTCTACTTCGCCGAGGCCGATGACCCCAGTTCGGGTTTCAGCAGCATCCCTGACGCCTTCTGGTGGGCCGTGGTGACCATGACCACAGTGGGCTATGGGGACATGCACCCCATCACCATCGGGGGCAAGATCGTGGGCTCTCTGTGTGCCATCGCGGGGGTGCTGACCATCGCCCTGCCCGTGCCCGTCATAGTCTCCAATTTCAACTATTTCTACCACCGGGAAACAGAAGGTGAGGAGCAAGCCCAGTACATGCACGTTGGAAGCTGCCAGCACCTCTCATCTACCGAAGAGATGAGGAAGGCACGCAGCAATTCCACCCTCAGCAAATCCGAGTACATGGTGATAGAGGAGGGGGGAATCAACCACAGTGCATTCAAACAGGCTGCCTTTAAGACAGGCAACTGCACAACCACAAACAATCCCAACTGTGTGAACATCAAAAAGATCTTTACGGATGTTTAATAAACACAGAGCGGCAGCGAAACCCGAGGATGTGGTAAAAATAATAATAATAATAACAATTAATAACAATAACGATGCAAAAGTGACCGTGTGTACTTGGTGTTGTGTGGAACATGCACCATCGTCCGTCTGTGTGCGCCCTTGGTTTTATACGTTTATTTTTGTAGGATTTTTGTTGCTGGTTTTTTTTTTCCTTTCTAAAGATCCGAAAAGGATTTAAAATTCTCCAAAGAAAAGAGGACGGCCGATGGGTCCGGAGAAGGAGAATGAAGACAAATGGCACCGCTGGAGCGGGTGTCTGTTCTGCAACGTGTTGCAGGGCTGCCTTTGTTTCCTGGCTTTTGGGGACGTCTCGCTTTGCTCCTGGTTTGCTCCCCCTTCCCTGCAGGCGGTGCGGAGCCCATTTCCCTTCCATCACATAAGCTCACTTGTTGGATTAGCGGCCCCGGATTGGGTGGGGAGACGAGGAAAACATGTTGCCGAGCTCTGGAAGGGGGCTGGGAGGAAACAAGCCTTTAATTTCGCACGGTCTCCGTTAGCAGGTTGTTAAACGGTGCTTAATGCTGGGAGGCGGTGCGCCCTTAGGGACGCGCCGCGGATCCCCTTTTTTCCCCCGATAGATCGTTTATGACATTCTCATCCGATCACAAGCCGAGCGCAATCGGTTCAGACTAAAAACCGACCCCCCTTATTTTCTACCCTTAATTCCCTTCCCCTGCAGCTCTGGGCATGATTTCACCCAGCTCACGATCCGTGGGTCCGTGTGCTGCAGCGGGAGGAGCGGGATGGGGTGGATGCACGAGGGCTGAGCTGCCGAGCTGCAAACAAAGGGATGTTTCCACCTTTTGCACCGCGTCTGGGAGAGATGCAGCTGCTTATGGCAAGGAGATTAAAGTGGTGAGCACGCCTTCCAGCGGAAGTCACTAATTCGGACCGGAGTGATGCAGTTGCTATGGCGACCCTGGTTTCCTGGGAAACCCCAAAAGGTTGTCATGGCATCCCTTCTCCCATCCCCCCCCTCGGCCCTCACCCTTCCCTCCAAAGCCCTTCCAGATGGTTCCAGCCCCACCATCCCATGGCTCTGCACCGCACTGGGATCCCATCCTGCACCCCCATCCGCACCCCATCCTACAGCCCATCCCTGCACCCCAACACCCGCTCGTAGGCAATAAGCACTCCCCAGGTCCTCCTCTCCCTCTCGAAGGAGTTCAGACCTTGGCAGTGAGATATGGGAGCCTGCAGGCACGAGTGGAGAAAGGACCGCGCTCACCTCACCCCGGAGCAAAACCCCAAATTGTCCTCCAAGGGCAGAAATGAAAGCTCAGCAGGGAAAGCTCGGCAGCCTTCGGAAACCAGGGGGACAAATGCAGAGCTAGAAAGAGCAAGATTGCAATGTAAGCCCAAAGCCGCCAGGGAAAATGTGCCTCCTTCATCCTTCTGTGCACATCGGGGGCTGCAGGACATCTGATGGGATCAGGTGAGCTTTGCAAGGGGGGAGAGGTTTTTGTTTGCATCATTGCTTTTTGGAACAAACCTCGTGTTTCCTTCTGCGTGGTGTTGTTTTCCAGCTTCCCCTGCTGCCCTCGTGTGTCTTCGTGCACTTTGGGTGTAATGGGATGGCAGCATCCTAAGGTTCCTCCAGTTCTGTGTGCTTCTCACTTTGCTTTCTGGTGTTGCACACTGAGCTCTGGGTGAGCAATGCTGGGGGAAAGCTGTGCTGCTCTGTGCAGGGATCTGTCCAAAACTGTGCAAAAAGAGAAGAGTTGTGGCAGTGTTTTGGTGCTCTGGGTTGGTCGCAGGTGGGGCTGGTGGGGCCCTGCTCTGTCCCAATTGGTTTTGGGGTAAGAACAAAGAGGTTTGTCAGGTGGGGAGTGCACAGGAATGCCAGCAAAGACAAAAGACACCTGGAGCCCAACCTGGCTGAGCCATGTGTTTCCTGAGGGGATGGAAGGGAGGATTTTCACCTTGTTGAAACTGGAAATTTTGCTGGGAATTCCTCCAGACTTGAAGAGCGTTTGGGATGGTTTGCGCCACCTCACACTGCCCATCAGCCCCAGCACCCCAACCAGCGAATAAAACCCTCAGCACCAACGGGAAACATCCGAGCAGCTTCTTCACTAATGGCATCTGATGGCTTTATTGGAGCTGCAGCAGTTTCCCCAGCAGAGGATCTGCTGTGACCACGGAGAGGGCGATGCTCTGCAGCCACACAGAGCTGACAGCCCTCACCCTGACAGCATCCCAGGGCACGGGGCAGCAGGGAACCCCCAGGCACCTTTGCCAGCAGGCTGAGCTGTCACAGCCAGCTGCGAGCTTTCCCTTCTGATGGCTATCAAAGCTTTTCTAAGTGCCCCGTCCTAAAGGGAGGTTGGAGCTCAGGGCAGTGGGAGCTCTCCCCCCTCCTCGCTGAGTTTCGTTGTGATATTTTTGCTGTGGCAGTTGCACGGATGGCACCGGCACGGAAACCACATGTGTGCCTGGAAACAGCAACACACAGTTCTCAGTTTCCGTGCCACTTAAATAAGCAGAAACCTCACCAGTCATTAGTTTGCTTTCCTGGCTGCTCCCTGCCTCATTCAGTGGGGGCAGAAGAGCTTCAAACACATTTTACTGTCAGCAAAAAAGAGGTTTATCACAGAGGCGCTAAGGAAGCCGGATCATCTGCCGTAGTTTTTCAAGCACTTGAATGGCACTGCTGAAAAACGTCAAAGCGCTGAAGGCACGCACAGAAATGGGAGAGGGAGCAGCAAGCAGCAAAACGGGGATATCCCTGCTGTGCTCTGCCCCATTTCTGTCTGCTCCTTCCCTCCGTGCTGTCAGTCTTGCTGGGTGCCATTCGGTGCGCGCGGTCTGACAGCTCCACCGAGTGCGTCCTGCCAGGAGCTGCAAAGTGCTGCCAGACTGCTCCGTGGCAGCCTGTGGGGATGGAGAGCCCTGTGCTGCCTTGCAGCTTCCATCCGTGTGTGTTTCTTTGCTGCCTTGCAGCGTGCATCCACTTCATGCGCCCTTGCTGCCTCTCTGCGTGCATCCGCTGTGTGTTAGTGCTGCTGCAGCCGTTGCTCCAGGCACAGCAGAGCACACTGGGCTGTGAAGCTTGCCTCAAAACAGGTGTTACCCTGGGCTGCTGGTGGCGCTTAGGGGACCATAGGGTCTCTGCCTACCCATGGGTGCATCAGCTTTGGTACAGGAACCCCCCTCCCCCCATCCTGGCCTTTCTGCTTGATGCTTTTCTCACTTTTTTCTCCTGCTTATTTACACTTTTGTGGCCTGGAATCCTCCGAAAAGGTTCACTGCTTCCCAGCACAGCAGATGCCCTTCAGGGGGATGGGATCTGTCCCACTCCGGGGTCACAGAGCAGGGCTGGGGTGTCCCTTTCCTCCTGCAGGGTCGGATTTCTTTGGGCAATTGTTGCCGTTCTGTCCCTTGACAAAGGGACAAAGGAAGCTGCTGGTTGTTTTTCATCCCCAATTTAGGAACAATTTAGTGGGGACAAAGGGCAGATCAGCGGCTTCCCCAGCAGAAGGGAAGCAGCCCTCACCCATTGCTAAGGGGTGTCCTGGCAGAGCAGAGCGTTGGGTGCTGCTGGTGGTTTGTGTGTGTGGAGGGCATTCTGCATGAAATCTGTTCAATTGTGTAGTTTGGAGCCCTCTTCCTGCCAAGCTTTTAAAATATGCATATCTATGTGCAAGCACAGCCCAGCCCGACGCAAGGCAGTGCCTTTCTCCATATTTGAATGCTTTAACAGGCTGCAAACCTGTGGTGCAAAGCAATAGGGTGCAAGCAGACGGTGTGGGATCGCACCTGGCAGCGCTCTGCCTTTCAGTCTCATGCACTTTGCGTAGGGGAAGGAAAGCTCAGCAATGGCACCCCTGTGCCAAGGCACGAGTGTGGGCAACGGGTGCAGGGAAATTGGTGTTTTGAGGACATTGTGGGATGCCATGGGGAGAGCGAATCCTGTGCGTTCCTTCACTGCCACGGAGCTGGTGCTGCTCATCCTCACCTTTCTCTGCTCTGGGTCTTCCCCCAGTTCATGGCTTTGGGCAGCGATGTGCAGCTGGGAACATTTGGGTGTTGTGGATCTGGGGACATCTGTGCGTCTCACTGTGCTGGGAATCCCTCCCCTGGTAGTGGGGGGACAACAGCATTTGGGTGGGCACTGATGGAGGATTTTCTTAGGGTACGGCATGGAGCTGCCCTGCCCTTGCATTGCACTGGGAACGTTTGCTCCTGGGGGGAGCCCAGCGGAGCAGCCCCAGTGAGGGCTCTGCAGCTCGTAGGACAGAGCCCCAGGCACAGCCGAGAGCTTTTTCTCCCAAACTTGGCTTTCTGAGCAGGAAAATGAGTAATGGTGCCTCCGTCAGTGCGATATTCATCCCTCCTGACGGGACGCGTGTTTGCTGCTCTGTGCTGGAAGGCGTCAGGGCTGCTGTGCTCCTGCTGTTTGTCAGCAGCAGAGAGCAAACAGCATTTTTTGCTCATGAGAACCGTTCTCCGTGCGGAAGAGGGATGGGAGCGGGGTCCCACGCTGCCCTTTCAGCTGGAGAATTTTTGGCTATTCAAAATAGCCAAAAATGCTCTGAGAAAATCCCTCACGAGCCCCTGCTTGCCTTTCCTCTGTGAACGAGGAGCTGCTTTTTGAGATCCCCCCATTTCAGGGGCCCATCCATGTCTCATTACTGGCAGAGCAGTGAGGATGCTCTGCAGGAGGACAGGGAAACCTTCACACACAGATGTGCCTGCAGGGCACCATCACTTTTCTCCTTCTTATGAAGCAGGACATGCTCCAGTAAATTAAAACCTGTCTCCTATCTCATTCAGCTTGTCACTCTGCTCAAATACTTCCCTCTGGCTGCTCTTCACCTCTGCGCAGAGGGAACCATCTCTGTACACCAAGCCCCCCGGATCAGCGGTGCTGTGTTGGTTCTGCAGTGATTCATTTCCTCACCACTTGTAATTCGGATGCTTTTCTGAAGCTCCGTCACGTCTGTTGCTCTTCCACATTTGTTGCACTTCATTTTTAGCATCCTTACACGTAGTGTGTGGGAAGACTTGGTGCGGATGTGCATGACTGCATCAGCCACTGGCTATCTCTGCTCTTGCTCTCCAGGCAGCAAAGTGCACTCGGAGTTGTGTTGATGCTGACCAGCAACAGCTGTTTGCTCGCCTCTTGCATAGCAGATATGGAAAATCCTTTTGGGTTGTGTCATGGTTTGATCAGTGGTGGCTGGGGTGCAGTGGGGCTCCTGCAGCAGCGCCTTTGCTCCGGGTTTTGCTCTTATGAGAACCCAAAGGCTGCAGTGAAGCATGGAAAAGATGAAAGCACGCATTGCAAAGCATTTTTGTGTCTGCAGAAAGATGTGTTTTGCTGTTTGCCCCTGTGGTAGCAAAAAAAAAGGAGCTGACAGCACTGCTGTGTGGCTGGGGATGCTGTGGAGGTTGCAGTCCATGAAATGGGATTCCCTGTGCTGCAGACACGGGGGATGTGCACCTCTGCACTTGCATTTCCACCCTCATGCCTCATTTCTCCTGAGATCTCTGTGCATTTGTTGCTCCGTTTTCATAACCAAGGTGCTGTGCAGCTCGTTTGCAGGAGTGCATTACAACAGCACACACCTCTGTCAGCCATACCTGGAGCTCAGTAAGAAGAGCTCATCAAGTTAATGCGATAAAACCAATTTCCCCCAGAGCTGCATTGTGTGTCATCAATTATAACCCTCACTTTCATTCTGTATTCAAAATCTCAGCCATTCCAACGTATTTTCTGGGATGAGAGGAAGGCGGACAGACCCATCCTTTTTGTTTATCCCTTAAGGATTTGGCTCAGAAGGAGCTGTTTTCCAGTCCCAGATTTCCCCCGGGTCCAGGGCTCAAGGAAGATGCGGTGCACGCAGTCTCTCGAGCCGCTCCGCCAACTCCCACCTCTTGGCCCCAAATCCTTTGGCTCCACCAACTGAACAACCTCTGATTTCTGTAGCTTCTGCTTCACATCCTCTGCTTCTGTTGGAGGGGGGGAGGATTTCATCATTCCTGTGTGCTGGGAATACATCTGCATCCCTTCAGGAGCCGGAGCAGCAACATCTCCTGCATGCTTCTGACCTCACTCCCACTACTGTTCTGGCTGAACTCAGTGGAATAATGACATCATTAGATTGAGGGTTTGGAGGTTCTGTCCACGAGGACAGGGATACGTCCTGGAAAGGCATTGGGGCACCCAGAAGAGCTGGGAAACCTGAGCTGTGTCTGCATTTCTGCCCATTGCTCAGCATCCGTTAAGCCCGTGCTGGGCTGAGGTTCCCATCCGGGTGTATGGGATGGCTCCAGGCTCAGCCATTTGGGTAAAACAGGCTCATGTGGGGAAAATTGGCTTCTTGTAGGGTAAGGCTTCATGGCCGGGCTGGGAGAAGTGGATCCAGGTTCGTTAGTACTTAGTTTGTTAACACAGATCCTTCCCGCTAACGAAGCACCCAGCTCTCGTCACCCGATCTGGTGGCAGCGCTCATTAGCACTCATCAGGCTGGTTTTAATATAGTTAACGAACCTCTCCATCAGAAGCATTACTAATTCTCAAACATCAGCACCCAGGGGCCAGCGCTTGGGATCCATTCAGCGCTCAGTGCCACGTCCCCCCAGCTCAAATCCCCACTGGGGGTGGGCAGAGCAGCGCTCCGTTTCCCAGCTGTGGGATGGAGGGAGGTGTTCATTTTTGGGGGTAAATGGGAGTGATGGAGAGGGTGGGACAGAGGGTGGATCTCAGGCTGGGTCTCAGCAATCAGCCCCTGCTCTCAGCTATCAGCTCAGCCAGTTGCTTAATACCATATCAGGTCTTCAGGAGCTCAGCTTGATTAAGAGAAAAATGTGATGAGGAAGACTCACTTCACGGTAATTATTTTGGATTGGATTCGCAACTTGCCGTTAACGTGAGCGAATAGTTAAGAGCCAGAATATGCTTAATGAATCTTTTCCTAGCTTTAGCTCTCTTTCAGCTGCGTTGCATTCAGTCCGTTAAACGATTTTAATTAGCAAAATTTTGCTTTTCATTTCTGGGGAATGGGGATTGAAGTCGTCCGAGGGGACCAATGTGTGCCATCCACCCCGCTCTGCGCTGAAACCACAACGACGCGCTGCTCCTTTTCAAAGCCAGGCTGTGCACCAACGCTGCTTTTTCTTTGCCCAACAGAGAGCAGAAAAGCTTCAGTGTGAGAGCTTCAGGACCGTGCCTGGGGATGAGACACCTCTGCAGGAGATGGCGCTCACTGATGGATGGAGCTCCCCGCCCCGACCTGCTCCTCACCTCGACTCACAAGTGCATTATGGATGGGAGATTCTTTATGCAACGTGATGAGACGGCGCCAAGCCAGGAAAGAGAAAAACAAAAAAGAAAGAAAGACGGTGGTGGAAATGGGTTGGATGTTATTTCAGGGTTTGGGATTTTGTGTTTTTTTTTTTTTTCTTTCTTGTTATAAAAAAAAGAAGAACAAAAAACTCTTGGAAGGTTGAGCAATCGGAAGGGAAATGCTGAGCAGAGCCGCCGGTGGGCTGTGCAAGTGTTCTGCTTGGGGTGGGAGCAAAATGGGGGCACGTGGGTTGCTCTCTGTGCTCCCAGTGACACAGGCTGGTTTTGGTCATAGGAAGTGAACAAGCTCTGTTCTATTTTTTCTGGCTTTCCTGTATGTGCTCCTTATAAATAGGTTCGTGCTGCACCAAAGGCATCCCTGCCTGCCTCCTGCGGTGGGAGCCGTGTCCTCCCATCAGGCTGCAGCTCCCCAGCACTGGAATGAATGCCAAATGCTGTCCAGTGTCTGGGGGCGAGGGCTGAGCTCATTTCCATCCCTGTGAGCCCCAAATAACCCAGCGGTGCTCTCTTTCCATTGTGATGGATGGGAGGGCCCTGTGTCACATCCAGCCCTGCAAAACAGCTGTGAACGATAGGTTTGCAGCCGTCCTGCATCACCTAGCCTGGTCCTGAGGGTGCAAAAGGGATCAAACAAACAAATCTGCAGTGATCCCATAGGGGAGAGCAGCCTGTGGGGGGGGGTTGGGGCTGCAGACAGCCCAGCACCCCATGAGATGGGACCCTGTGGGCAGGAGGAGAGCTGATTTCCTCTCGGGAAACCCTGGTCCCAGAGGTGTTGAATTTAGTTTCTTTTGGAACATTAAACAGTAGCCCTTAAAAGTGGGGATGGAATGTATCAGTACAGAAGTTATTTTTTCTTTCTCACTGCTGTGTTACCCAGAGGTTTTTTTACGAGCTGTGCGTGTGCGCGCCGTGGTTGTGCCTCGTCCGTTTTCAATGAGCTCTGTGTTAAAGCATCTCTCTGCTTGGGGTTGGATGGGATGGGAAGAGCAGAGCCCTCCTGCTGGGCTTTGAAGCAGTGATGCCCCAATGGGTGCCAGCAGCTCTGCTCCCCACTCCTCACCTTCCCCATGGACGCCCTGAGTGTCTCCATCCACTGCAGGCAGTTGGACCAGATGGCCTTTAAGGCTCCCTTCCAACTCAATTCCGTGACTCTGTGACATCTCCAAATCTGGAAATCACCAAATTTCAACCCGTGCTCAGTGTTGTACGTATCAGCTCCGGCAACAAAACTGCCCTTCAGCCCACGTGTTCTCCATGCTGTTGGATTTCTTTTGCTTGATTGCTGACCTGGCTAATTGTTAGTGTGCTTTCTCCAAATAAGCAAGAGTTTGATAGTCTTTAATTGTTGGTCCGGTGTATTGTCTGCATTGTCATGACTCCAAAGATAACCCTGTGTGTTCTATAGACAACCACCATAGCAGGACAGCCATGCAGAAATGTCATTTTGAAGGCAGAGCCAGATTTTGGCAAGGGAAGAGAAATTAAAAATGTATTTAAAAAAAAAAAAAGGGAGAGATTTAATGATGGCTGACAGCAAGAGAAGGCCCCCCAAAAAATAGCATGTATTTATTCCCATAATCATCCGACTGCAGGCTGCTCATCTTTATTCATAGCCCTTCAAAGCCACGCTCAGAGATGCTGAGGAAGCTGTGCAGCGCTTGAGACGCCAAACACGTCTGAGCTCCTCCTGCTGTCTGCAGCCCTTCTCTCTTCCCATGTCAGTGTGCTCGATGGCAAGGGAGCTTTGCCACAGGCCCCCTCCTGGTGGATTTGTAGGGCAGGGCCCCAGGGTGCTGTAGGCACTGGGGTGACGTTCATGGATAACAGCTGAAAGAGGCACGGATGTTATCCAAAAGGTGTTCAAGTGCTGCTGCTGCCACTGAATTCTTCTAAAATTGAAGAACAGGGTCTTTCTCCTCTGTACAGCCTTGGAGGTCTGCATGGCTCCTCCTCTTGCTTCTCCTGTTGCACTGCTCTGTAATGCGGTGCCTTTGCTCACCTCTGACACGGGGAAATCACCCTGCGTTGATTTCTTTCTCTTTTCAAGCATGAAACATCAGTGCATCTTCCAAAGGAATGGGCTGAGATCTGCTGTCCTTCTCTGCTGTTTTCCAGATCTTTGTCCCTGATGACAGCGAGGCCAGGCCAGCAGCAGTGCCATTTCAGAGAATGTTTGGGGGCAGGACGACTTTCCTGCCTCTAGAAAAGCCGTTGACACATCTGAGCCTTCGTGCTATTAAGAGGAGAAGTAGCAATGGCGTGGAGTTGTGGCCCAGTACCTGAAATGGGGCAGTTTTAGTCAAAATGGTGTTTGCTACCATCCACCTGCCACTGGTGTATGAGAAATGGGATTGAGTCATTCGTTTGGGTGCCAACAGAGTGATGTCTGAAAGTCGCACCCAACCTGGTGTGTAGGGAGGAAAACTGTTGTTGTAGAGGAAGGAGTGTTCCCATGGCCAAACTGAGCTCCTCCCAGGGAGAATAGGCTCTTCCTATAGGACCTGAGGTCCCGAAGCTTTGCAAGAGGGGAACCTGACCAAGCATCCACCTCTCACACAGGAGGTCTTGATTTCTTCATTCCCCATCATTTACTATGCAATTCGTTTCCATGATTCCTTCCTGGCTGGGTATAATGCTGACGTTGCTTTCCATGTCATCAGGCAGCGCTTTGGCTGGTGATGAGGAGTCCTTAGGACTATCTCAGCATCAACACACACAGAGACATTCCAGCAGTGACATCCTGCCTCCTGAAACCCAACACACCCCCCTGACAACCCAGTGGCTTTCTCTGCACGAAGGCCAAACCCAGAGCAGCCAGGCTTTGCAGAAACGACACCATTTGTGGCTGGAGATGCAAAGCTCAGCCTCATTGCTCTGCTTTCCTTTTCGTTTTGGTTTGCCCAGGGAGCTGTGTGGCCCACGTTTCAATTTATTCCATCGGTGCTGATCTGATGCTCAAACAAACATCTTGTTGTCCTGGAGACCCCACTGTGCTGTGGGCTGCATATTCAGCTCCACACGGGTGGGTTTCTGGGTTTTTATTTTCTGGTCGTGTGGATTTTTTTTTACCTGATGTCAAACTTATTTTTTTAAATGTTTTTTTGTTTGTTTGTTTGTTTGTTTATTTTTTTCATTAGGACTCAAAACTGTTCTTTCATACGCAAAGTTCAATAAAACGGCTGAAACACATCTCTGGTGGTGCCACAGTGATGGGGATGGGCGGTGAGATGGGAAAGGAGGGATGCTGGGGGTCCAAGGATGTAACAGGGATGGGGTATGAGATACCTCTGGAACAGGTTGCCCAAGGAGGCTGTGGATGCCCCATCCCTGCAGGCATTCAAGGCCAGGCTGGATGTGGCTCTGGGCAGCCTGGGCTGCTGGTTGGTGACCCTGCACACAGCAGGGGGTTGGAACTGGATGAGCGTTGTGGGCCTTTGCAACCCAGGCCAACCTATGATTCTATGAACTCACTGCTCATTTTTCAGTGTGAAAGAACGTGGAACAAAACTGAGCAGCAAAATCATGGGGTAAAATTTGCACATTTCCATCCATCCCACCAACCTGGAGAGCTGCACTCGCTTTTTAGACCAAAGTCGCTCTGAGCAAAGCCTAGAAATTCTCATTGTGAGCATCACAAGAAGGGATGTCACCAGTGATACTTTGGCAAAGCCAATGTAAGTGGAGGCACTGAACCATTTGTCCTCATTGCAGGCGGAGAGCTTGAGAAACGAGGCTTGAAGTTCATCTGAAAACCTTGCCCTTGGCTTTGTACCACATCTTTGGGCTTCACCCAAAAGCAAGCTTGGCCAAATAATCTCAGAGCTTTTTTAGGTTATGGCTTGTCTAAAAAATATTGAAGAGTGAGAGAGAATGGAAAAATAAATGACGACTGTACAAGCTGCATTTAATCTGCAGCAGCTGGGACCGGTCTGCACTTGGGCAGCCTGAGAGCAATTGGAGAGCAGTGCAGACCTGCAGAACTTGCTGGTTTCTTTTGCTTTTCAATCACCTGCACATTCCTGCTCTGGGGAACACAGCTGGGGGCCATGAAGTGAGCAGAGCCTTGGCGCAGCTGAAACCCAGAGTTTAAGATGGGTGATGTAAGCCAAGGCAATGTGGGGAAGGCTGGGTTTGGCGCAGCATCTGTTGCTGGAGGGGCACCCATTGCTGGGGTGGCTCACATTGCATTGCAAAAGTGCTGTTCTGTTGCATCCCGTGATCCAATGGCCCCTGCAAGTGAGGTATTGTTTTACTGCACTGCAGACCGAGCTCTTGAGCTGAGTGGATTTGCAAATCCTATTCCTGAGAATGCATCTCCAAGCCCTGTGCAAGACTCTAAGCTGAGGGCCGAGGCTGGCAGCAGAGCAGTGGCCCATGCCTGCTGCTGGTAGGCTCAGACTGGGAATTTAGCAATGATGGAGAAACTTGAAGCCTTGAGTTCTACAAATCATCTGCTCTGACCCCACTGGCCTCTCTGTGTGCACGGAGCAGCACAGGGTTCTCCTTTGGGGCCTGAGCTCTGCCCCCGCCTCTGATGTCTGCATTTGGGCAGGTTCCTGGGAAAGCAGCATTCGGCTTCTTGCTTTTGTGCTGTTTTGGCTTTTTTCTCTCTCTCGGTTTGCTGCCAGCACCGAGGCTGCTGGTGCACAGTGGGGGATGAGCGGAGCTGGTGAGCAAAATCCCTTTGCACCATCTTCAGTGTCTCTGTTTCCTAATTGTCTCCCAGTGGCTGCTCAGGGAGCAAACCAGATCCTGGCCAGAGCCAGCAGCAGGAGGAGATCCCACGTGGGATGCTCAGAGCTCTGGTGGCCGGTTTGGTGGCCCTGGCTGCCCTGACCTCGTTTTGTTCCTTTCTGCATTGGTTCCCCTGAGGGCTGCAGTGCTCCCAGCTGTCAGTTTCGGTTGCTGTGTGGTTAACTGGTCTGGTACTTCAGCAACCTTGAAAAACAGGATGTCTCGAAGGCTGAGATGCAGAAGGTGGCATGGATGGCATCAGCCCAAACATGCTCCTGCATGAAAAGCAGCGCAAGATCCCTGATGCGCAGGGGGTGATGTGCTCACACCAAACCCACGACAGGACTCAGACCCATGGGTCCCTCCTGCTCTTCCTCTCCAGCCTTCCCATCTGTGGCTTCTCCAGAATGCTGCAGATTTCCATAGGGAATTTCCCCTCTCCCCAAACCACCCCTTCCTAAGGAGACCTCAGATTTAACGCATCAGTTCTCATCTTTCAAACAGATGCTGGGTACTGGAAGGATTCTCTTCCACATGGTGAGATGGGGTTTCCTCCTGCCAGAAGCACTGCCCATACCCATGGGATTGCTAAGGTTATCATTTACTAAATACCACCTGGCCCTGTTATTCGATTGACTCTTGGATTCGATTGACTCTTGGATTCCTTCTGCTCGTGCTTCAGCTCAGAGCGATGGGGACAGCAGATGTTCCTGGGGTCTTTCTGCAGAACAAAAGCTTTCCCTCTTTTTCCTCACACTCCCCAAAGGAATTAAGCACAAATGAAGGGAGGTGCCGTGATTTGGACCACGGTTCTGAACAGCTCCATGCAGCCCTCATGGGAGCTTGGGGACAGCCTGGGTGGGTTCTGCTCATTCAGGAAAGCTTGTGCTGAGAGCAGAGGGTGGGGAGGGGGAGCAGGGGATGCCAAGGCTAAAAATAGCAGCTTTCTAAAGAAGCAGATGAAAACCTCTTTGAAGAAATGAGAGGAGAGGGGGAGGGTTACCATAGAAACAGGGAAGTCTGTCTCGTCCCAAAAGAGGGGGTGGGAGAGGAAGAAATAGTAAATACAGCAATGAGGTGACAGAGAGGATGCTGCAGGGCAGCAGGCAGAGCTCTGCCACCACCCAGTGTGGGCATGGCACCTCGTGTCCTGCCCAGCATCATTGCCTGTCACCACCCCACGCCACCAGGACCTGGATCAGGGATGATCTTGCAAGGTCACAGTGATGGAGAACCCCCCTGGGAAGTGATAACACAATGAATTCCTACCTCATCCCACAGTGTCTTGTAGGAATTTTCCACCCTAGCAAAGCCATCTCCAGGAGGGACTTTGTAGTGATGGAGCTACACTGGTGGCATTGGCCTGGCTGGAAGATGAAGGAACCAAGGTGGAAGGCGGTCCTCAGCTGAGCAGCCCCAGCCTGCATCTCTCCCTGCAGCATTCATGTGTGGGAGGACAAGAGGATGGAAATGGTTCCTGCAGAGCCCTTTTCCTCCTGCCTTGTTTTTTCCTTCCCATGAAGCACTGTCTGTGGCTGTGCCAGTAGAAAACATCACAACTGGGTCTCCAAGCACCCACCATGCAGCAGGGACAGATAGACAGGGAGGTACACAGATGTTATACAGCACTTGTGGATGGGATGGGATGAGGAAAGAAGAAGAATGGAATGGAATGGAATGGAATGGAATGGAATGGAATGGAATGGAATGGAATGGAATGTCCAAGTTAGAAGAGACCACAAAGAACATAGAGTCCAGGAGATGAGATCCTGAGGTGGTCCACCCACT